GAGATGAACCTAGTTAAGGCTGCCACCTTGCCAGTAAAGCTCTGGATGTCTTTTGAAGTTACCGGTTCCTTCATGTCGAGGATTGCTTTGATTTTCTCGGGATTAGCCTCAATGCCTCGTTGGCTTATCATAAAACCTAAGAATTTGCCAAAGCCTACGCCGAAGGCACATTTGTTGGGGTTCAACCTCATTCGATACCTCTTCAGAATGGTGAAAGTTTCAGATAGGTTGGTGATGTGTTGGTCAGCATGTTTGCTTTTGACTAGCATATCATCAACGTAAACTTCCATGCTCTTCCCAATCTGTTCAGCGAACATTGAATTGACCAGTCTCTGATAAGTCGCTCCTGCATTCTTTAGGCCGAAAGGCATGACTTTATAGTAATATAGTCCTCTGTCAGTAGTGAAGGCTGTGTGTTCTTGGTCCGGAGGGTTCATGAGGATTTGGTTGTATCCTGAGTAAGCATCTATGAAGCTCAGAAGTTCACACTCTGCCGTAGAGTCTATAAGTCTGTCTATGAGAGGAAGAGGAAAACTATCATTCGGGCATCCTTTGTTTAGGTCGGTGTAATCGACACACATTCTCCACAAGACATTTTGGAGCAGGAGAATTTCCTTGGTCGGATTCTTCTTAACAATGACAACATTTGCTACCCACGTTGGATAATTGACTTCGCAGACGAAGCTTATGCCTTTGAGTTTTTCAACTTCTGCCTTCATTGCCTCGTACCGTTCAGCGTCATAAGATCTTCGCTTCTGTCTCACTGGCTTGGTTTTGGGGTCAATACTTAAGTGATGACAGATGATATCGGGAGAGATGCCTGGCATGTCCTCGTATGACCAGGCGAAGACCTCAGTGTTCTCTTGCAAAAAAGAGATCAATGCCAACCGAATAGGTGGTGACAAGGTGGTGCCAATCTTCACCATGCGATCCGGATAATCTTTTGAGATAGAGACCTTCTCCAACTCTTCAGCGGGTTGTGCTTACTGGGTGAAAGAGTCATCTCGATGATCGTCAGGTTGACTGTTGCCACCGTGAAGATCTAAGTTGGTTTCGTCTGGGCTGGTCTTTATGACTTGGTCATGTATAGAAATGGTTTCCTTGGGCACAAGAAAGTGTTGTTGCTTGACCGAAATGTTGTAACATGATCATGCACTAAGTTGATCTCCTCTGATGTAACCATGACCATAAGGGGTTGGAAATTTCATCAACAACATATGTGTGGATACCATGGCCTTGAGATCATTGATGCCTGTGCATCCGAAGATGACATTGTATGCCGTTGGGCAATCAACCACCAGGAAGTTAGTGGTAATGGTAGATGTGTAAGGGCCTGTACCAATGGTGAAAGGTAAGTGTATGCTCCCCAAAGGTTGCACGATATCACCGGAGAAGCTTATCAGAGGGGAAATCAAGCGATCGAGCAAGTGTTCAGCTACATTAAGTGCCCTGAAAGCTTCAGCAAACATGATATTGACCGAAGCCCCCGTGTCTACCAGGATTCGTCGTACCTCAAAGTTGGCTATGTGAGCTTCCACGATGAGTGGGTCGTTGTGAGGGTAGATGATCCATCTTTCTTCCTCAGGGTAGAAACATATTAGATCCCAGTTAGGCTTTTGATGCTTACCTCCCCTGATGTCTTCCACGTGAAACACTTGGTGGCCAGACCTTAAAGCACATTCGCTATTTTTCATGGCCATGTTGGAAGATTCAGATATGGGTATGCCACCACTTATGGAATATATCACATTCACCTGCCATTGGTTACGGTTACCCCTTAGAGGGTGACGGAGGAATTGATCAATTTTTCCTTCACGTGCCAAAGCTTCAATGATCACAAATGGTGATACACTTATCGCCGTCATGACCGTTATGCTCGTGGTAGCAGCAAAACGTGCCTGTGTTCTTTGTGGGCTTGTAATCCGGGTGTCTTAGCTTTGGCTTCGGTATCAGGTGTGCTATGCTGGGGTAAATGGCCACGCATGTGGCGTTAAAAGGTGTGTATGCCTCATACCTCGGGGTAGGCGCTGTCCTGACACGTGCTTGACCCACTGTGTTGACTGCCTGGGGTTGGGGATTATCATGGCGATACCCTTGATTATCGTGGTATTGTCCCTTACTCCTTGAATTAAAATGAGACTGGTGAGGATGGAAATCTTTCATTTTGCCCTGAGATTGATATGTCTTTTGACTTGGCAAAGTATTAAGTAAGGCAGGGGGAGGCACCGCTGCCGTTTGGAAGGTCGAGGTATTCTCATTTGGTTGGATCTGGCTTCCACTCCCTACTTGCTGATAAGGGGTGGTTGTGGGGGGTTTCCCTTAATATGTCCTTGCCTCAGCGGAGGCATGGTTGTAAGCTTGTGCCATCACCTCAGAGTAAGTCTTCTAAGTGTTGGCATTGATCATGTACTTGAAGAAACAATCACGTAGGCCTTAAGGGCGGTTTTGTCATATGCCTCAGCGCAGCGAGAATACTCATGGTTGAAACGACCCGCATACTCTCGTAGTGACTCGTCCAGCTTCTGGTGAATAGTGTACAAGTCATCTGCAAAATGCAAGCGATCGGTCTGGAATATGTGTTGAGAGACAAACAGTTTCCTCAGTTCCTCAAATGAGTCTACTGTCTCAGGTGGAAGATGGCAATACCAGTTTAGAGCTCCGCCAGAGAGGGTGGAAGGGAAGAGAAGACATCGCTATTCGTCGGTGTGCATCCGATATGCCATGGTGGACTCAAAGAGGTTAAGATGTTCAATTGGGTCATCCCTTCCAGTATAGAGTTGTAAACCAAGCTTTTGTTTTGTCTTCGTTTGAAGGAGGTGTCGATGATCCTCTTTGTGAAAGGGCCAGGCCTGGGTTGGTTCTAGTCAGGTATCTCGGCCTGACGTTCGGCCTTCAACTTGTTTACTTCCTCAATGAGCTGTAGGACAAGGGGATCTTGAGTGGAGTCATGTGCCACTGGGATTTTCTTTCGTAAGTCTCCATCGCCTCTTGGAAGTAGGAAAGTTTGAGTAAGGGCGTGTGATTTTTCCTTGGACTCGTCGTACTGACTTCTAGGGCGAGTCTGTCAGAATACCTTAGAGTCCCATGTACCTTCGTGTTCCTCTAGGACATGTCATTCATTCCCTAGATTGGCAGCCGGCCTGGGTCGTGAGAGGGGACCAAGTCTTTCAGAAACCCTTGGGTCATTGATCTTCGAGCATATGTGGAGGGGATTCTCTCGATGTTGCTTTAGGAAGTCTCGGCAGTCACGATAAACGGTTTTCGATCCTTCCAACCCTTCTGCAAGGAGGTGTCTTCCTCCACTTCTTCTGCTTCGAGTCGAAGCAGTTAGGTTGAGATAAGTCTCACGTTGATCAATGTTTTGATGATTAGCTTGCTCCTCATCAGGGATACCCATGTCGAAGGAAGGTGACCCTCCGTGTTGGGGGGCACCCAAATGATGGTTGATATCCACAGGGGCAACGAGCTCGCATGTTTGAGTACGCCTAGTTTCATGGAGCGTCTGAAAGAGCTTCTCATACTGTTCCTGGAGGACTTCATTCTTCATTGCTATCTTGTTGTTCTGAGCTTCTAGCTCATCGACTTTAGCTTGAAGAGCAACCCTTTTTCCTTCATTCTTTCGTTGCTTCGCACTAGGTGCAAGAGGGGTGTCATTCTGTGTGCTATGGCTTCCCTCGCTCCCCATGTTGAAGAGGGATGCCTGGTAAAAAAAGAGTGTACGAATGGTGGAAACCAACTTGACACAGCTGAAGAGAGTTGGAATAAGTGTCGTTTCCCACAGACGGCGCCAAATGTTGATGCACAAAATCAGTGCGGACTTTGGTACAACAGAAAGTGTTAAGTTTGTGACCTTCGCTAGATTGCTCCGGTCACTAGTATGGATAAGTATGTAAATGGATAGAGATAGGGAAGCAAACACAAGATGTATGTGGTTCACCCAGATTGGCTACGTCCACGGAGTAGATGAGTTCTCATTAATTGTGAAGGGGTTACATAAGTACATAGGTTCAAGCTCTCCTTTAGTGAGTACAAGTGAATGATTTAGTACAAATGACATTAGCCAATATTGTGAGAGAATGATCTCTATTTATAGAAGAGAGTTTCTAGTTTCATTCTAACATTGACACGTGTCGTGTTATGATTAGCTTCTGATGTTGACACGTGTCGCGCTATGATTGGCTTTTGATGTCGACAAGTGTCACACTGTGATTTGCCTCCTGGTTGGAGGGAAACTCTTTTGGGTCCTTGACAGTATAACGTTGACCGGTGCTCAGTAGTTTCGGGATTGGTCAAGTATGGTACAAACACGTATCAAAAATTAAAATGTACCAAGAAGTCAAATGGACCAAAAATTCAAATGTACCAAGTAACTAAATGTACCATTATAAGAGATGCATAAAAATAGGAAGAAAAAAGAGAATGCTAACGTGAATAGACTTCTAATGAAATAAAATTAAAGTACCAAAATTGTAGGGAAAATGTTTAATCAAATTTGCAAAAGGAATAGATGTTTAGTCTATGACATTTAAAAACGAGGTGTCTAATTCAAAACGTCCCTTTAAAATATGTTGTACCTGTTCCGGTCCGATCCGTTTCTTTTAAACCCGAGTCCAATCCAATCCCTTCAAAATTAAATCCAGCCCCGCCCTAGTTGTACCTAAGAAACTATAGAACCATTGACCTCCACCTGAAAATCAGGTACCAACCGCCTGTTTTAGCCATCCCAAGCGCTTGATCACAATCTCCCTCTTCACGGAAAATGAAAAAATAAAGCTGTGTTTCCTTTTCATTTCAAAACTGTCACATAGACTTACAACGGTAAAAAATGGCAAAAAAAACTCTCCAACTCAGTGTTTAGTTTTTCACGTGGAGCCGAGTCAGTTGAGATTTTATGAAAATTTACAAAAAATTATTGAAATTTTGTAGAGATCAAGTCAAGTAGTCAACCGTAGATCGAGACCTACGTCCTTTTAAAATTCGCAGCGGCGCCAAAAACTACCCGCGCAAAATCCAAGTAACCGATTAAGCGCGAAACCAGCAAAATTCACTTCCCGCCATTTTCGAGAGTGCTCAAATGGCAATGGCAATGGCAATTGCAGCGCCAAACCCTCTCTCACTCTCTCTCCCCCTCCCTCCCTAAAACCCACCAATCAGCGAGAGATTACATCTCAGAAAAAATGGATCTCTCCGACATAGCAAGGAAGCTCGACCTCTCCGACTCCAAGCACGTCATCCGACGAGCCGCCGAGCTCCGCCGTCTCTGCGACATCCAGTTCGACTCTTCCATAATCGGCGTCGTAAGCTTCTCTCAAAATCCCTAAATCTCTATCTGATCAATTTTCCCAACTGGGTATTTTGTTTATCGATTTTGCTTATGATTCGCAGGGCGAGGTTTGCAAAGCTGTGATTTGCTTAGAAATCGCCGCCACAAGGTAATCGAGCTTTGATTTTGCAATCGCGTTGGCTTTCAGTATCGTACTTTAATTTTATGGTTGTAATTGTTTCGGATTGAATTGGTTTACAGATCGGGGCTCCTATTCGATCGGAAAAAGGCGATAATGTTGAGTGGGATGTCTGAAAAGGCTTACACCAGATCCTACAATTCGATGCAGAATGGTCTCGGGGTCAAGTGGGTTTTCGATTTCTCATTTGTTTGTACCGATTTCGATGTGACTTTTCGGTTTAGTGAGTGGATACTGATTGTTGGATTGGATTGTGTGTTGTGGTGGTTGTGTAGGAACAAGCTGGATGTCAGAGAACTGGCAATTCAGTTTGGGTGTGTTCGGATCATTCCCTTTGTACAGAAGGCTTTGTCTCTGTAAGATTTGATTTCCTTTCCGCGATTCATTGTCAATCTCTTTCGGGTTTTGATGCATACTTTCATGTGTTTGCTTCATGGGGCTGCATATTACATGCTAGATGTTTGACAGAATGCTGCTGAGAGCATCACGTTCTGTTAATTTGTTAGGATGGCTCGATTCTAAGTGTAATTTTTATTCTGTTATGTTTCAGTTACAAGACTCGGTTTCTTGCATCGTTGCCAGCTTCTCGGCGTGCAAGTGCCGATTTCACTCGACCTGTGTTCATTGCTGTGGCATTCTATTTGTGTGCGAAAAAACACAAGGTATCCCCGTGACCTCTTTCTCTCTCACTTGGTTTCAAGGCAAGAAAGTAATTAACTCCGTTGAGCTTTTACTAATTACAGTGTCATACCTAATATGTTTGCAGTTAAAGGTAGACAAGCTTAAGTTAATTGAGCTTTGTGGTGCATCTGAAACTGAATTCTCTTCCGTAAGATAGAGCCTTTCTACCATGCAAGATTATCTTTTGTTGCCAACTACATTTTGTTTCTAGTCTTCACTATGTACATCTATCATATATGTGAGCTTCTTCTGCAGGTTTCGACTTCCATGAAGGACTTGTGCTTTGATGTTTGTGGGACTGAAAAGGAAAGGAAAGATCCCAAGGATGTGAAGGGGAACCGAGGTAGGTGTCAGTCTCTGAATTTATGTTATAACATTGCCATGGTGCATAACTTGATGTTTTGCCGTCATTAACTTATTGATTTTTCGCAGAGCTTCTAGATGTTTTGCCAGAGAAAAGGAAACTTGAGGATGGTGGCTATTCTTCCGATGAAGGAAACGAGGTACTGATAACCTAATTCTAATTGCTACATCGGTTCCTAGCTGAGCTGAAGGCATTGTTTATGGTTGCCCTTATATAAGCACACATAAACAGACTTGCAGGCTTCGTCCCTGCAACCTGTTATCATGCTATTTTTGTTCTTTCGGTTGGCCACATTTGATGGCAATCCTGCCACTACCTTTTCAAAGCAACTGGATTTTCTACACTTGAGATATATGTTAGAACTCTGATAGGTTCGCAATGGTTCACTTTTAATATCGTTTATGTTATTTTGGATTCTATGGCGACGGGTATTACCATCCATTTCTTTAGAGTGGACTCTGCCCGTACAGCATGAGGGAACAAATGATGTAGCTTTTGTTTTTCTGTTCTTGATCGGTCTACTTATCTTAACGATCCCTAGAGTATCCACCCAAGAAATGAAAACCATGGAATGTAACTGTTTGACTTTGATGCACTTGAACTTGCAGCCTTCGAGTTACAAGCGGCACAAAAAGATGGAAAAGCATGCCTATGAGGGTTGGAAAACCTCAGTCCTCACATCTAATAAAGAAACCAAGGCAAAAGTTTTGAATGCACTTCCTTTCAGATCATTTCACTCTGTACCAATCACGCACATTGACATAGAAAAACCTAACTATTATGTGTTTGCTCTTCTCAGTTCTTTGCAAGCGGACCAGACAGACTAGCCTAAACTTTTTGAAGGATGTACACGTATCCGAAACTCAGAACTTGGAGGCTGTATAGGATGATACATGTTTGCCTTGTATCAATAGAATTTTCAGCTATTTTTTTGGTTGCGGATGGCCATTGCTCGTTGAGTATCTTGGGTTGATTTATTTCACTCATTGGAGCTTTGCAATTTTTTATTTTATTTTATTATTTTTGGAAACCATAAGAATGCTCGTTGCCTAACACACAAGATAAACTAGGACCGCTCTTATGTTAGATGAAACCAACATTGTGTCGAAATGAATCAAAATGTAGAGAATTTCATATTTTTGTGAGATGTGCTTGTGACTTCTCAACATCAACTGAGACGATGCATCCCAACCGATATCCAACTGCGTAGATTTTGCTTTGATAAAATACAGCATCAGTCACGTTTATAGGGAAGGGCCTCCAATAGTTCTCTCCCGCTTTAGTGAAAGCCAACCTGCAATCTGCGCGGTACATTGCAACAACCACATAATTGTCACGATTCAAACTGGGATTGGTGGATAATATAACCTTTTGGACGTAATTCTCGTAGAGGTGAAACCTTGGGTTCATATCTTGGGCTTCGAACTCTAACGGAGGAAGATGAATGGTCTCTTCTTTTCTGAAAGGGTTCACAAGAGTTATGTTTATAGGTTGGTCCGCTAGATCAATCGTGGCCAACCAACCGTGGCTGGAGCCACGACATTCGACATATCTGACCGTAAGGCACAGGTAACCGAACATTCTCGTGAACTTTCCCTTCATTAATACTGTATACTGCTCTTGCTCGGTTTGTTGTCAGGCCGGTAGTTTCTACTCGTGATTGTGATTCTAATTTGAAAGGGATCAAGAGCATGGGAAGCACACCATAAGCATCCGTTGCGTTGCAAGATTATAGACTTTCGAAAGATAACACCATTCCTTGCAAACGGCAGCAAAGCGAACATGATCAATGGGTTCCAACAAGTTATCCAGAATTAGGAACGTAAGGGCTGCGGGAAGACTTGCCCATTTTGATATCGACATCGACAGGTTCCTCCTAACCCTAAGACGATGCTACATGCACATGACAACGCAAGAACAAAATTAGAAATCAATACAACATGCACGCATGATATTTTTAAGTTTTAACAGAACAACGTAACCAGGTTGTGCTTCTTAAACAATTAAGAAGCATGCCCGGTACTATCGTACAGGTCGTATTAGGCGACTTCGGCTCGTGTGCTAGTATAGATTGATGAGCAATTAGTTCAGTCGACAGGTCTCATTAGGCGACTCCAGCTGGTGTGCTGGTATAGATTGATTGGGCACCTGATTTTTACTTACATTACTGTTTAGATTTTGTGATTTTGGATGTCATACCTTTAGTTACGAGATATTGTGCCGTAATAAATTCTTGAGATTTTGCAAGCTACGGTAACTATTTTTATACTATACGTGGTAAGTATATTTTGGAAACTATACTTGTTTTACGGCGAACAGTTATAATGTTTTCAGAAGGGTTTAAATAAAACCTTATTTTCACACCCACTCACCCTTATTTTCCACCCTGAACATATACTGACGACAACAACAACAAGATTAATCAAATTAAGGTAATTACAGGCTTAGGCACAGGGCCAACGGATCCCCATTTTCCCTCATTGATGCCTCGTCGTCCGCCATATCCGCCGTTATCCAGCCACCGGCTCCGGCCACTATTTGATTTCTTTACTCCGGTCGGTTAAACTATCTAGCTAGTGTTTTGTTTTTCATCCTCAATCTAATTTAAGTAGTTTCCTCTGTCTGTAGTACGTAGTTTCAGTTGGACGTGGCATTTTTCTTAGCCTTCCGTTTCTCTGATGCGCCAGTGAGTGAGGTATTAGAGTCCCAGTAAAATATTTTATAAGAACTTTAATGAAAAACTACTGCTACTGTTCATTTTAAAGAAAAATTATATTTTTACACTAAAAAGTCAATCCTGGTACTATTCACTCTACCCTTTATTTTGTCCTTATCATTAAAACTCAAAGTTTTCAAACCTTTTTCATTAGTTTCCTATATTTTATTTTATTTTTTATTTTTTGAGAGTCCCAGTAAGTATCAAATATAACTATTTGCTTATCTTAATCGGTTAATTTACTCATCTTAACTTAACTAATAAGATAATCAATGTAATCTCTTAAATTCTGGCTGTTTGTTTAATCAAGTTTGTGATTATTTACAACTGTTCAACTTTCACTCCTCGTCGTCATCTTCCTTGTTAGCAGCGTCGATGAAGGCAGTCAACCTCTCAACCAAGTTCATACTTCGCATTTCACTGGCTTGCTTTGTCGGTTTTCCATTTTATAAAGCTTTATTCTCTCTACTTGAATCATATACCAATACCTTATCTTCACCCTGTACCAATCATGCATATTGAGATGGAAAATCCTAAGAACATCTCCAACTTTGACCTAAAACCTAAAAATATTTAACCCAGAAAATTTAGGTTTTAGCCCAGAAACAGCTTTTCTATTCTAATCCTTCTAGCCTAAAATTTTAGACCGAAATTATCAAAGAATGAATTAAAGCTATTTTTTAAAATTAAATTTAAAAAAAATTATGTAGACTATCCTAAATTAATTTTATGAACATTTTAACCTAAAAATATTTAAATTCCAATAAATTTTGAAAAATCACTAAATCAATACATGAAAATCATGATAAACCACATAAGCTTAATACAAACGACATTTAATAAACCACATAAACTTAATACAAATGACAATTAATAAACCACATAAACTTAAAAAAAAAAAGACAATTAATAAACCACGTAAACTTAATACAATTGAAAACTCATAAACTACATAAACTTAATAATGATATCCACCATCTTGACTTGGTGATGGACTTGTGTGATAGTTTTTGAGATGAATCATCATCTTGAAATATACTCCTTGTGGCATTCCTTCGTAAAATGTCATTTTGCTTACCACGTAAGTATTTCTTCCTCTCTGAAGTGTATTTGTCGAGGTCCTCCATCATCAAATTAATTTCGAACCTTTCTTGCTCCCTATCCCCTTCTTCCTTCATGGCCAAATGCATTTGGGCTGATTCTTCTTGCCCAGAGATATGATTTTCGTTCATTCTTGCAATTTCGCTAGCAAACTGTGCACGTATCGGATCTTGAGACTTCCCTTTTCTCTTTGCTTCATTTTGTTTATCTCTACCTTGGGGCCTTGCAAAAGAAGAAGTTGAGGTCATTTGTTTGACACATTCATTGTCGGCAAAATTCACACTTTCATTGACATCATTTAGGGGTGGGGCTTCACTATGAAATAATATTCCACATTGTTGGTACGCATTGGTTCCCCACCTCGGACAATCCTTGAGGATGTTCTAAGCATGATGCAACTTAAAAACTTGATTTTTTGGTGTGGTTCTTGTCTTATAAATTGTTATTGCTTTGTCACCCTATGCAACAAATACATAAAAATAATTAGTTGCAAAATACTATTATATACATGACAACTAAAATATCAACAAAGAAACTCACAATTTCTGAGGTGCCCCTTCCACTAGGCATGTCAACCATGGCTTTTTGCAAGCTTCCCTTCCACAAAGTGCACGCTTTGTTGATAATCTTCCACCGATTATAAACACCACCAACTTCCCTTCGATCGGCGTTGGAGTTTTCATGGAACTTATCAACGATTTTACCCCACAAAATCTTTCTATTTTGATTCGTGCCGACGACACCATCTTCGCTAATAGAAATCCATGCCAAATATAAGCAATATCTTCGTCAAAGGTCTAATTATGACCTCTAACATGCTCTTTTGCCATCTTGAAAAATTTGGAAATGAGAAGAAATGGTAGAAAGAAAAATTGGAAGAATTGTAGGAGAAAAGTGAGTTTTGTGTGGATGTTTGAACAAATACATAGGTATTTATAGAGTTTTTGGTTGAATTTTAAGTTAAATAATTTTTTTAAATTATTTTAGCCGTTGAATTTGAATTTGGACCGTTAGATCTTTTTTTTACCTTTAGATTTGATTATATTCGATCTAAGTCGTTGGATTCAATAAATATATAAATATAAAACTAAAAAAAAATTAATTTGAACTTGGACCGTTGGATTAACCAATGACCCATTTAAATCGAGCCGTTGGATGAAGAAAACTAACCGTTGGGCTACTTAATGGTCTGACACTCAGGGGAACAACCCCACGTGGGTTTGTTGGGCAACAAAAATTGCCTGGCGCATGCAGCGCGTAGGCGAGTAGGGAATGGACAGTGGGCTTCACAGCCCCAGTTTCAGTCTCATTTGCTAGGGTCCACTTTGCTTTGTGGTCTAAAGTTGGGCTGGTATTTGACCCCATTTGGGTTTTAGATTTTAGGTTAATTTTAGATCATGGGTTTGAGTGGATTTTTTTTTTTTTGGGGGGGGGGGGGAGAAGGGGAATTATAGGTTTTAGCCCATGGTTGAAATGGGTCTAACGAAGATGTATTTGCTCTTTGCAGTTCTTTGCAAGAGGACCATTCAAACTAGCGTAAACCTTTTGAAGGATGTACACGTATCTGAAACTCATAACTTAGAGGTTGTATAAATGAGAGGTCTTAGATTCGATTCTCACCAAAAACAAGTTTAAACCATATTAATGCTAGCACATTGTGAGGCTAAGCCCACAAATTCCTTAATGTAGATAATATCGTTTGTTAAAAAAAAAAGATATAAAAAAGAGATATAAAAAATAAAATAAAAATAAAGACCAACATTGTGCCTAGCAAAAGAGAATCTTAAGGTAGAGGGTCCAACCAACTCAGCATCTTCCTTCATATACTTTCTCAAACTCTCTTTGTTGTATGGTTAATTTGGCAGACGACTTTTTATTAAACCACCTTACAAATTAAATCATATAATGTCCATACCAAAGATTCACACTCACATGGGATCAAAATACAAAACGTCATATGATACCACAAGTGTATGTTACCGACATATTTCGTATCCTTTTTTATTCCTATGATCAACATGAACTTTTGGTATCATAATTTGTAAAATCTCCAAAATGCCTTCCAAGGAGCACAAGCTGACACGTCGTCCCCAGGGGCACTTTGGACTCTCCACCCTTGCGCGTTGAATTGTCGGCTTTTAAACGGGAGAAAAATCTTGCCGTCATTTTTCTGTTTTTGTCCGTCCCACGGGAACCCACAGGAAAATCAAAACTTGACCCACGTTTTCTTTTAAATTATTATTTTAATATGTTTTTCCTAAAAAATTTCCAATTTTTAAAAACTCAATTGCATTTCCAGCGTACGCCAATAATGGTGGGGGAAGAGAAT